GAAACGAGACGAAAAACTTTCTTACACGCCCGAAGAAGTTCCGCTTCAATTGATGCAAAAAACGAGAATCTTTCACGCAACACCGCACGACGCGCTTGCTTGCGCAAAATTAGCGCGTGAAGCAAAAGCGAACGGTGCGATAATTTCAATCGACATCGATAATATTTTCGACGGCGTTCTGGAAATGATTCCGCTTGTTGACGTTTTTATGTCGTCTGCAGAATTTCCCGAAAAATTATTGGGAATCAGCGACCATAAAGAAGGATTGAAGGAAATAAAACGGCGTTTCGGATGTCCGATCGTCGGAATGACTCTGGGCGAAAACGGTTCGCTGGTTTTGTTTGAAGATCAGTTTATTGAAACAAGAGGTTTTGCAGTTCCGGGCGGATGTAAAGACACGACCGGCGCGGGCGATGCCTTCCGTGTCGGGCTTTTATACGGAATTTTACAAGGTGAATCTATCGAAGAAACGATGCGGACGGCAAACGCCGTTGCCGCCTTAAAATGCCGCGCAGTCGGTGCAAGAACTTCCCTGCCTTCTGAAGATGAATTGAAAGATTTATTAAGTCGGAAATAGAAGAATTTGCCCACGAAATACACGAAAGAAACGAAAAATAAAACAAAAAGCAATTTAAATATTTTCAGTTTAATTGTCGTGCTTTTCGTGTATTTCGTGGGCAAAAACCTCAAAGATTCTTTCTGAAAAATTCTAAAACTCTGCGCCAAGCGTCTGTCGCGGCTTCTTCATCGTAAACTTCGGGGCGCGTGTCATTGAAAAATGCATGGTCGGCATCGTAAGCAACCGATTCGACCGGCAGTAAATTTGCTTTGGCAACGCGTTCGAGTTCGGCAACTTTTTCAGGATTTATCCAACCGTCTTCTTTGCCTGAAATAAACAAAACCGGACATTTCAAGCCTTTCAAAGTAAATTCGTCAGGCGTGTCGCCGTAAAAAGGCGCGGCGGCGTGAATATTTTCGAGTTTGCAAGCGGCTTGCAGAGCGTAAGTTCCGCCCATACAATAGCCCGTAATCGCAAATTCCTTCTTGCCGTATTTTTCGCTCGCCGTTTTGATCGCTTCGTCAATTGTTCCCAAACCGTCTTCGAGCTGTAATTCCTGCATATACTTTCCGGCTTCTTGCGGATTCGTTGCAATCTTTCCGCGATAAAGATCGGGCGCAATGGCAATAAAACCTTCATCGGCGTAACGCGTGGCAATATCCTTGATATGATCGTTTAATCCCCACCATTCCTGC